TGGGGATTATGCCCTAAACCCTAAGCCCACCTCCAAACCCCAACCCACCGAGTCCTGAACCCGGCTTCCGGCACTTCAAATTAAACAAACAGGACTGCCCACATTGACAACCAGGACCCTCCTTGCCCCATTACATAGGGGCTGGGCATATGAGCTACAGGCTAAACTCCTAGTATCCCCCTTGATAACCCCTACAGTAGTCCCTTATATAATCCCCTATGTAGCCCCCTTTAAGGAGTTTAGACTATAGTTCATATGGTCCCCAATGGTGGGTATAAAGAGGGTAGATGGAGGGTCCAGGGTCCTCTTTTGGGTTTAGGGTTTAGGGTTTAGCATAATATTTGGAAGTGTGTTAGGGGCCTCGAGATTGAGGGAGCCTCCCAAGTGATTTGAATAAGGTTAGACATTCCCTAAGGGTGCAAGGACCCAAATCATAGGGTTTTGTACTATAATATTATTGGTATCTGGGCCCTAAACCCTATTGTTTGGGTCCTTGGACGCCTAGGGATTGAAAGCTCTCCTGTCCACACTTCTACAACTTTTGGAAAACTCCCGGATGCGCGTCTCCACCCACCCTAGGCTGCCTACGACCTGTCTTATCAAAGTCTGAAGCATAGCACTTGTAGGTTCATGAGTAATCTAAGCGGGAATGAACAGTTGAAGACTTAGCATGAAGTACAACTGGTCATTCCCTCGCTTGTGTGGCATCTATAACCTGAGAAGTTTCTGACTGCCCATGACTCTCCGTGTAAGCTACAGTCTAAACTCCGAGTATCCCCCTTAATAACCCTCATAATCATCCTCTCTTTAATCCCCATATATAACCCGCCTTCAGGAGTTTAGACTACCGTACATGTAGTGGGCTTTCTGACATTGGACCCAAGGCCTTGCACCCCCCAGCCGGCCCGTCCATTAAGAACCTTATGACCGCTACAATACTCGAAGGGAAAGTGATAGGTATAGCTTAGGAGGACCCCCAGCGTGCAATAGCAAAATTACCCCAATCTAATCTGTCATCATCTTTTATAGCCACTATTACAGGGTCGGGGGTCCACTTAAGGTATAGCTATGTTCTGAGTACCCGAAATCGTGCCACGAAGAATCATGCCTTAGTTAATACTTATCATCCAACTTACCTATACAAAGTATCGGCTATCCAAGTCTGCAACGTTGTTCTACCCTTGGTTACCGCTGCTGCCAACACCATCGCTAGTGTTGCTACAAGAGCTGCTTCTGGCGCTACTATTCCTTGAATTCCTGGCGCTCTGAACCCCAAGTCAGTCTCTGCAATTGCTCAGCGTCCTGGGAATCGGAAGTACTCTGGGACGATGTAGCCTCGCGACACACGGTTCGCCGTGCATGCTTTGATATTTCTCAAGATATATAGGACCCAAATACAAACTCTCCGTCGAAGACTACATGGCTGAGCGTTCTCTTCATTTGCATGCAAACGTTCCAGTCGACGGAAAACCCACGGCGCATGGTCACCATACATATCCTGACTATCCTGCCTTGCTCAAGAATCATTGGTTCTGTGAGCTGCGCGTGCCGGTTGAGGTCACGTCTGGCCCCTTGCAGCTTACAAACGGGCACATCTAGTGCCAAGAACCTCAACAGCAAACCGCCAAAGGATTGTCTGCCTTGTCCTCTTCGTCATGCCTGCTAAGTACGTGTCAGGGCACAGGTCTATTACCTTTCAAAAGCCCTGCGCAGCCATTGATCCATGATCATGTACACAAAAACAAAACTTTTTCCAAACTGACTGATAGAAAATGGAAGAGCCCTTACCTTCAACCACTTGAGTGAATGAAAGCCTTACATTCCTCCAAGCTAACATGGAATCCCATGCGGAACCCCCCATATAGACCATAGTCTAAACACCTAGTATCCCCCTTAATAACACCTATAATAGTCCCCTACATAATCCCCTATATAACCCCCTTTAAGGAGTTTAGACTAAGGCTCATATAGACACCCTTGAAAAAGGGCTGTTATGTTTCTGGGACCTTGTCAGGGCAAAATCCTGGCTCTGGCGATCAGCTGGGGACTATGATTGGGATCAACACTAAACTTTGGGTACTGCCCCCACTCAGTAACAGTCTATATTAGGGGTCCTATTAAGGGCTATATGTAACCATATTATACTTATTATCCAACTGTTACTGAGGGGAGGCAGTACCGAACTTATAGTCTTCGTTAGTCTTATAAAGAACCCCAACCCCAAACCTTAAAACCAAAAGTTTTGCCGGGCCACAAGGCTGAGAAGACAAATGATAAAACCGAACAACATCAGAACTAAGAACACAAACACAGCCTTCTCCGACCATTCTATATCATTGAACAAACTTTCCCTAAACCTTAACCCTAAACCTACGCTACTTAAATGCCAGGAAACCCATGGTCGCGAGCATTGCCACGCGGCCGTTCTTCAGCTCCTGGATACTAGAAGGGTTTAGCGTTTAGGGGTTTAGGGCTAGTTTAGGGTCTAGGGGTTTAGGGTTCAGGGGTTTAGGGGTTTAGGGAGGGGATTTATCATTGGGAACACATCTTCGAACGACACCCACATGGTTTTGGGGTTGCTTTAATCTTCGAATCAAAACAACCCTGTACCCTAACCTAAACAGATAACCAGATTCATATGCAAGCCCTCAGCTCCTTCGAAAGCACGTTCCCACACCTAGACCCGAAACATACCATTACCCTCTTCACTACTGCTACCTGAACCCCCAAAATTAGTAGAATAATCGCATTCTGGGCTGTTTTAGCGGCTTTGGGCTATTGTCTTACCTACTTCCGGGGTCCAGGTACTATTGCTGCTGTTATACAAAGTCGACCCCATCATGACTTCAGATGATCAACGCCAACAATCACTGGCCAATATTCGTGCGCATGGACTTTACATCATCATAAATAATAACAATTGCAATAATAATGTTCATATCAACAATAGTTATAACAAAAACATATAACGATAATACAAGCTCTCACTCTCAAGCCCCTCAGCTGCCCTAACCGCTCGCTGGTCCCGAAACCCGAACCCCCAACCCCCCCAAAAAATGCTAGACCCGAAAGTTCCCTAAAGCTCTTAATCTTGAACCGCTAAACGGCCCTATGAACCTTCTAAGCCTTAACCCTTAAGGGTCCAAGGACCCAAACACTAGGGCTTTTTACTATACTATTGATGGTCCTTGGGCCTTAAAACCCTACTATTTGGGTCCTTGGACCCTTATGTAGTCCCCATGTATCCCCTATAACCCCTTTAAAGGGACCCTATTATTTGGGTCCTTGAGCCCTTAGGGTAAGAACCCGAACCTGAACCCCCAAACCCGCTCCGAAGAGCGGCGGCGCTTGAAGGCCTCGACATCGCCATCCTTTTGGAAGACGGAACTTATTTTGAACTTTACCATGACCCCCTCAGACTTAAAAAATGTTAGTTGTCAGAGCTGAATTGACTTCGGGGTATAATACAAGAAAACAAGGCTTGACAATAATTCCTAAGGGGAGGGTTAGGGGTTTAGTGTTTCGGTTTGGGTCAAGCAGACAAATTGGCTGATAGGGACCCCCATTTAAAGAAACAAAAAAGACACAAGAGTATAGGGTCTAGGGTATCGCCGTCGAAGGTTGACGAATCTCGACACTTCATGATGGCGGGGGATGATGTTTAGGCATTGCTTTGGATCCCGGTTAGGCGGCCGTCGGTTTGGGGTGTCGGTTTACTGGGCCAACTTGGTAGGCGGCCAGAAGACTAATCAACCAACCGTGGTGGTAGAAGGAATATGCAAGGCTTACACGGGATGCAAACCCGAAATGTGTTCAAACTTGGCTCCGTCAACAAGTTAGTGTCCAGGTTTGGGGGGTATAGATTTGCAGGAGGGACCCAGAACCCTAGTTGAACCAGCCAGGGCAAGTTTGGGTTTGCATGCAGTGTGCATAAGGATTTGAAAGTGGGACTGCCGGGTTTGTCTATATCGCAGGCATAATCTTGGGACTTTGGCCCATGAGCACGGTAATCCTGCATAGTTGGAAGAAGATGATGTCATATGGATACCGCAAAGCTGAAATCACAATTGAGATTCCATGTTGCCATGCAATCACGAAAAACATTTGATAAATATATACAGGTTCTGTACCCGAGATTTTGGTCTGGATCTTCTTTTTCTGGAGGAACACAACTTTACATAATCCTCGAGAGAACAGTGTAAAGTTCTGATCAGAGACCACAACTCCCCCCACGGCCGCCTTAGATTCATGTAGCTGTGTAAAGCAACCCACCAAGTCCGGATATTGAGAAATGCTCGTTTACCTTGAAGTAAAGGCTGTGAACGCTTGAACACCTGCTAGACTCTAGAAGAGAACTCTAAAACTTAACCCTAAACCCTAAACCCACCTAAAGCCCCGCTTTCCCCGCCGCATGCTAGCTGTCCATGATGCCTTCGTGAGGCCGAGGGGATCGAAGAAGCCAAAAGGAGCCTGTAAAAACGCTAAAACGTATACCTTAACCTACCAAAACCCTACTTTTTTGTAGCTTCCCTATAAATTCTATATTAGGGGTTATCATGGGACCCACAAAAAAGTAGGTTTTGGTAGGTTAAAGTAGCAAGTGGGTTTTAGCCGTAGGTTTGGGGCAAGGTCGGGGTTCAGGTAAGTTCGGACTCCAAAATTGCACTGAGAGTAAAAGGATTGCACGTCTCAAATATTCTTGTGGTATAGCGAAAGTACCAAAGTCAAAGTTAGCTGGAATCCTGCTTTCAGGAAGAACACCTATACGTGATGCACGGGAGCAACTATAGCCGCTGCCTGCACCCCGAGCTCGTTCTCGAATGCTCGCAAAGGCGAGGCGGTGTAGTTGGCCCAGTCTCCCCAGGCGCTGCCGGTAAGACCATCCTTTCAATGGGATACTGCGACAATTGAAACTACATGTTCGTAGCACGCTCTTACTGTGCGATCCTTGATGCAAACTGTGAAACAGACATGACTGTTCTTTGCTAATCTGTTTGAGCCTGGAAGAACATGCCGATGATGGCCATCATGGCGAGGCGGCCGTTGGCGATCTCGGCAGACAGCTTCTTGGTTTTC